GCGCAGATGAACTCTATTTATTACAGAGGCACAGGCAGCATTTCTTTGTTTTTTGGGGGGGGGGGGGGCACCACCTTAATCTTCAGAGGGTGCCGGGCAGACAAGTGGGGTCGAGTGTCACTTTTTGCTCTGTAAACAATAGCGGAAAGATTTTTGGGGGGAGAGGAGGGGGGAAGAAAGGCAAAGGCCCGGTGCCCGGTGTGTCACTCGCTGGTCCCTTCACTCACAAATTGCAGGCAAAGAAATGATCATACTTTTTTTGGGTACAGGCACGGCCCTTATTTATCACTAAGTAGTATTCATTCGGCCCTCATCTAGCTGCTTTAGCTAGAATCTGCGAATTTGAAAATGAATTTCCCGCTGTTTCGCATGCAGAGGTAGCAGAGGGCGCTCCTTCGCCAATCTAAAAGCGACAGCAGCGCCGTTGCTGCGTGGGATACGGGAGGGGGCCGCTCCTAAGACGACTTGCCGCGCTTACCCGACTGACAGTATCTAAAAACGTTGTCTAACGCCGACTGTCTCGTGCCTCAATGAACCACATCCGCCGCACGACCTGTATGATGACTGCTTCTTAGGAAACATAAGTGCCGACGACTTCGCAGTGTGACAACGAGCTGACTCTCAACTCAAGAGCCCGATGGAATTCCTCGAGGATAAAGGCGCCACTGTTCCAAAGGTATTCAAGAGAGGACTTGTGTCATTCTTCGTGAAAAATGAAGTTCTAATAAAGAAGAACTCGCCTCTTCGAGCTAAACACCTTCTCGTGTTCCCTCAGCAGTGATACTAGAGGTCCTTCCGGCCCTACACGACGACCCGACGGCTGGACACCTCGGTGTTTCCCATACGCTCACGAGAATACAGGAAAAATACTATTGGCCACGACTTGCCGTCGATGTCACTCGTTACGTCAGCACATGCTGAGACTGTAAACGACAACAGACACCTTCGACAAGACCAGTAGGCTTCCTTCATCTGATCGAACCACCTCACCGACCATTCCAGCAAATCGGTATGGACCTACTAGGACCGTTTCCTACGTCGTAGGCTTGTGCGAATAGTGAATTTCAGGGTCGAAGTGAATTCGAAGCGAATAGTGATTTTGGTCGAATAATTTCGAATCGAGTTCGAATAGCATGTATGACATTTAAAAAAAAGGGAATATTTATTATAACCTAACTAACCTGCACGATACTTCTTTTGAATTGAAATAGGTGCTCTATGCAGATGCCTTTTTTTTTCATTGAAAGGAAGTCGAAACAACCTTGATTGGTAGTTTCGGTAGGATCCGAGTGATAACCTGCAAGATACATAACATTTTAACATTTGTTATACTTAAATCACATAAACCATCATAACAAGCTTAATAAAATGAATAATTGATTTGAGGGTAACATGTTCCTTTAAAGGGGCCCTGCAACACTTTTTCAAGTATCCATGGAGCCAGTAAACATGCTTGTCACCTCACAAATTTACCGCCGCAAAGTTTGTAGAATCAGTCCAGTACGAGCCGAGTTACAAAAATTTGTCGCATGCTGCAATTGCATTCTCCATTCTCGACCCTTCAAAAGAGCTGGAAGCTAAGTAGAGAAGGATGGCACGGGAAAAGAAAAAAACATCATAAGTGCCTAGTGACTGAGCATTTTTTCTCTCTCTTTTTTCCTCAAATACGAGGTCTTTCAGTGCGATCCTGCACGTATTTGTGGACAAGCAGCGGCCTCATGCGGCGGTCCGATAACACGAGGGCGCCATGCTCAAATCAGCCAATGATTGTGACCAGAGCCGTATTTTCTTTCTTGGCTGTGACAAGTGATTTTTGAGCTTGGCGTGTCATTTGCCGAGGAAAGAGAGCAATTTTTAGCTTTGAAAACTCGTGAATTTCAGGCCACGTGCTGCCCTATAATACTTGCCTCGCGTGTTTTTGGTTGCCTCGACTACCGATCGGCAGTGTTTTCTGACCATGCTCAGTAATTGTTGCAGGGCGCCTTTAAATATGAAGAGGAGCTTTGTGGCAAAGCAAATTTCTTCTGAGTAGATGCTTTCACGGCTTTGCACTACTACATTACAGTGAAACCACCTTTACAGGCGGACTAATGTACATTTATTTGTTTATTGCGAATACTTCGAAAATGTTCTATAATTTAAATTCGAATCGAAGCAAATTCGAATACTCACCTATTTATTCGAATATTCGAAGCATTCGAATATTCACACAAGCCTACTAAGTCGACTTGCAGGAATAAATGGATCGTTGTTGCCACCGGCTACCTTACCCGCTACGCCGAAACAAGGGCCCTGCCTAGAGGCAGTGCAGCCGAGATAGCGAAGTTCTTCATTGAAGACATCGTCCTGCGTCATGGAGCACCAGAGGTCCTCATCACTCACAGAAGTAGAACCTTTACTGCAGAGTTAACACAGGTGATCTTGGCATACAGCCAGACAAGCCACTGCTGGACTACAGCGTACCACCCACAGACCAAGGGCCTCACCGAGCAGCCAAACAAGACAAGCGCCGACATCTTGGCCATGGACGTTGATGTCAACATGGCCGTCGGATGCCATCCTTCCTTTCGTGACCTTTGCATACAACACAGTGGCACAGGAGACAATGCAGATGTCGCCATACATGTTAGTCTATGGAAGGAACACGGCCACGATGCTCGACGCCATGCTACCAAACGTCGCCGACGAAGAAAACCTTGGTGTGACTGTCTACACTCAGCGCGCCAATGAAGCCCCTCAGCACGCCCTCAGCGTGCCAAGAAACAACAGAGGACCGACAGCCACCGTTTCAATCTTCGACCACACTTGGTGAAATACCAGCCTGGCGACCGCATTTGGATATGGACGCCAATACGTCGACGTGGCCTCAGAGAAAAACTTCTGTGAAGGTACTTCGGACCATACTGGGTAGTTCGACGTCTCGGTACACTCGACTATGAAGTTGTCCTCGATGGCATCACGAACTCTCAACAACGGCGTGCACGACCTGAAGCAGTTCATGTCGTGCACCTCAAGCCTTTCATGTGCTTTAACGAACTGAAGGACTGTGTTCTTTGTTTTTTTTTTATTATTCTACCTTATTGTTTGTGCTTATTTATTATTGTGTGTTTTCCTTGCTTTATTGTTAGTTTGTTTCTCCCTGGTGTTCAGTTTTAGGCATCAAGACGATTCTTCTTCAGAGCGGAGCAATGCCACGTGTGTTTTTTATATACACTTACGTTTCATTCGGGTTTCGGCTACAAAGCCTGTCTGAAATTCCAGAAGGTTCACGATTATGGCAGATCATTTTGTTAAAGAGCCCGTAAACAGCTCTGAGGTCCAAAAATAAAAAATATATATATTTGCAGTTTTTCTTTGCGAACACGCTGCCGCAAGAATTTTGTGAATAAGTGCTATATTAAGGAAGTTACTTACAGGGGTTAGAACATCGGTCTAAGCTGGTTTCAAATTTTTGCAGAGCCTCGTCCCCCTTCTCCCTTCCAAGAAGGGGAAGGCGTAGCCCATCGTCGTGACTTTACTTCGGCGCGTGACACAACGTCAGCGATTGACGTCATCAGCGTACTCGATCAGTTACAATGCAGTTCTTCTTGCTGCAAAGCATGGTTGTTTGTTTACCGTTTGCCGCACCAGTCGCGGGTCAACAGTGTAAGCGTCAGGTGTGAATGTGAGCGTCAGGTGTGAAGTGTTGATCAGGTCCCCGACCTACGTCGCTGGATGGCCGATTTGCTTCAGCCATGCAGCACGCAGGGCCCCATTGTGAGACACCCGGTGCCGATGCTTCTTCAGCGTCCAGTCGCTCGATTTGCGGCCGACGACCGAGCAACGCTTTTTACCCATGTAACTCATGTCAAGGGCGAAGTATGTTCGTATGTGCGCACAGGTGCTGTAGTTTAGCAACAAGTGTACACGTGCACGTGACAACTGCAAAGCTGGTTCTTTCACAGCAGTGCCAAGAAACAAGGGGCAGTTTCGTAGCTGTGGGTGGGAACAGGAACTGACGTTCACTTTACTACTGTTTTTTCACACCTGATTTAGACCAATCAGCGAGCTGCTTCGGTGAGCTGCATGCTACGTCACGTTGCCGATCGCTGAGTTGACGTCACTCCACAGGCAAGGGGGTCGGTCAGGCATAGGAAAAATGGGCGGGAATCGTTTTCAATATACAGACTCTGCTTGGCGCGAAGCGCTGTAATATTCAGAAAACGTGATCGATGCGGTCTAATCTACGAATTGCCAAGCTTGTATGGGATGTGTAAAAAAAAGTCGGAGCCTGTTTACTGGCTCGCCCACTTTGTGAAACATTTCAGATTATTCTGGAACCTACGCCGCCGTAGCGATGCTAGAATATTCAATGGCAAGTGCATAAATGCCGACGATCTTCTCGCCGGTATCAGTGCTCGCGTCTTGTTGTAATCCGACTTTCTTTATATATGACCGCAAGTTTGGCTGAATAAACAGTATAATCTTCAACCTACAGTCTGCTCCCTTTTTTGACATCACGACTCCCGTGACGATAAGCTACAACAAGCCCGCCTTTCGGTTCTACTACAGTCTAAAAACTACATATTGTGGGCATATTCTGGGTATGACGTCCGGATTGAGACAGAGTTTACGTATTCAGCCCGAGGACTCAGCAGTGAACAGACAGCCTGAGGCAGAACCCGCATACACAAAATGATGATAGAGATTACAACCGGTGAATATGAGGACAGAGAGCCAGGCTGATGACGATGATTATAATAATGTACAGATGAGAAGAAGGGCATAACAAATGCCCACAATATTATAGGCACTAGAAAAATAACTGCACATTTGCAATCTCCGCACAAATATACATAAACTCAGCAAGTTTCACCTGAGTTGATAAAGAACTAAAGACATTTTCAGGACATATAGGGCACTTCTGTTAAAGAGATACCAATTATTAAATTTGGCTTTAGACAAGCTCATTGTGATATTAACACTAAGCAGCTGAAAGTACTGACAGTGCGATAACTTACAGTGGTGGCTGGTGGGTAAAGGTAGCTTGTGCTGGCCGCGGTGGGGCCCGACGTGGGGTACGGTGGATATGCCGCAGGCGCAACAGAGGGGAAGACCGGGTAAGAGGGCATGCCGGCTCCACTTATGGGGTTGGAAGAGGCCGATGCAGCACCGCTTGCCGGAGCTATGGGGCACCAAGAGAACACATTCCTTGCAATGTCAAGCAAGCACAAATCATCAGCCAGCAACCACAGCTTTCTCAACAGGGATGTGTGGAAACACTGTGGCAGAACATTTCATTACTTAAAAACAATGCACCGTTCAGAGACGTGAGTGGGCAAGAGCACTAAAAAAAACTGTGCCTTTTTATACTCAGAAAAACTGTGCCTTTTTGTGATTCTCAGTTCTCACAATCTATGAGATTTGTGGCCGTAACAGCTGCCACTCATGTTGGAAGGGAATTGCCATTGATCTAAGCCCCTCCTTCTCGATGACAATCCAAAGGTTGTCCACGGAGAGTCAGTGAAAGCACTTCTCAGTAGTGTTTCCACATTTCTGATCATGCTCAGTTCACTGAGTATTGACAAGTGTCGCTGATGACGAGGGACTTAAACGACTATCCACCAAGAAAAGTTCAAATGGCTGGACGCTGTAGTCTAAATAAGCCGAAGCATTATGCATGAAAGTAGAGCTTCCCCACACTAAATACCTGCCCTGGCCTTTTGCTTAATTGCATTGAAGTGGTTGTAGCTAGCTGCATATCAACCACGGCTCACCCCTAGATGCAGCGACAAGAGGCTGTGGTAGCTTACGCTTAAAGGCGCTGCAAGTAGCCACTGGAGGGCACAGCTTGCATGTTCGCTCTAATAGATATAGACACTATCAAATTTATCCCCACAACATCATTCTGTAGCACGCCGCAGAAACCCTGGTTTACAAACAAACTAAAGAGACTAGCGAATAGAAAAAAGAGCCTTTTTCGCGCAGCAAAAGCAAACGAAACGCCCGAAGCTTGGGCGAAATACAACGCAGCCGAAAAAGAATATACTACCGCTATTAGTAACGCAAAATATACGTTTTTGAACCAGGATTTACCAGGCATGCTAACCGATAACACACGTAAATTCTGGCAGATAGTGAACCCTCGGCCTGCCAGCACCATCCACCTTACTAATGATTCTGGTCACATGCTCTCAGATGATCAATGTGCTGACACTTTTAACAGCGCATTTTCATCTGTGTTTACTAACGAATCTAGCGTACCTTCCTCTCCTGCCCCGGTGCTGTTGACATCCTCTAAGTGCTCAATTGTTTTTTGCGCAGGTGGTATTTCAAGTATTATTCAAAACATGAAACTGCCCTCATCAGGTGGCGTCGATGATATTGACTCAAAAGTGTTAAAAAATATCCATGACACCATCGCCCCATTTCTGTGCTTGATGTATGCGCAGTCGCTCTCCACAGGCATTCTTCCAGATGACTGGAACATGGGCAAGGTTGTTCCCATCTACAAATCAGGTGATAAGAACTGTCCATTGAACTACCGTCCCATTTCTTTAACAAGCGTCCCATGCAAAATCATGGAACATGTCATCTACTCTCAGATTGTAAACTTTCTAGATTCCAACAACTTTTTTCACCCCAGCCAGCATGGTTTTAGGAAAAGATTCTCCTGCGAAACACAACTAGCAATATTTCTTCACGATCTGCATGCTAACCTTGACAACAACTTACAAACTGACGCAATCTTTCTAGATTACGCAAAGGCATTCGACACAGTACCCCACCAATGACTAATGCTAAAACTATCCCAGTTAAACTTAGACCCAAGTATACTAAATTGGATCAAAGCATTTCTAACTAACCATTCTCAGTTTGTGCATGTCAATAATAAATCTTCTGCTTACCTCAAAGTAACATCAGGCGTACCTCAAGGTTCAGTTCTTGGCCCCCTCCTGTTTCTGATATACATCAACGACTTACCCCTCAGCGTATCCTGCAAAATCCGCATGTTTGCAGATGACTGTGTAATCTATCGGACAGTAACTAACACTCACAACCAAAATCTTCTCCACAACGATCTTAACCACATTCAAAGTTGGTGCGATAATTGGCTTTTGTTTCTTAACCCTAACAAATGCAAACTTGTTACGTTTACCCGCCGTAAGAATCCTTTCATTTTTTCATATCATATCGCCAACGTCCCTGTGCAATCACAACCATCCTACAAGTATCTAGATGTCACATTTTATTGCGATCTCACTTGGAATGCGCATATTACTAACGTCATTTCATCGGCAAATAAAACTCTGGGCTTCTTGAAGCGTCACCTACGTCATGCACCAAAACATGTGAAGTTGCTAGCATATCAGTCCCTCATCAGATCGAAACTCGAATATGCCTCCCCCATATGGAACCCGCCCCAAACATACCTCATTAACGACCTCGAATCTGTCCAAAATCGCGCCGCTCGATTCATTCACTCCCAGTACTCATACGACATCAGTATTTCATCCTTGAAAGCACAATCCAGTTTATCACCCCTCTCTGTTCGCCGCCCTATCGCCACCCTTTCTCTTTTTCATAAATTTTTTCATGCTTCTCTCAATGCAGCTCCTTACATCTTCCCCCCGACATACATTTCACACCGCACAAGCCATCCACTTCAAGTGTCCCGTTATCGTAATAGAACTGCCACTTTTTCCGCTTCTTTTTTTTCCCCGCGCCGTCAAGGATTGGAATGACCTTCCCTGCTCCATTGCTTCAACCACCTGCTCATCATCCTTCGCGACAAATCTTACAAATCACCTATGCTGCGAAAACTAACGTGTTCAAATGTTCTCTTTTCCTGTGTATCCACCCCTTATGTAATACCCCTGAGTGGAGTCCTTAAGGAAATAAAAATGAATGAATGAACACTCCCAGTGCTGCTCTGTTTAGGGCACAAGAGGAAGGAAGGAAACAAACAGAAAGGAAGGAGAATACATGGAGGTTAAACTACCGGTTGTACACAAGGCACTCACAATCTGCTAGATTTACTACAGCAGCAGAGGACAGTGTCAGTGCCATCATACAACGATGAAACAGATTTTTTTGCTGGTGTGCACGTTACCATTTCCCCATGGAGTGCCAATGATGATGCACCACTTCAATCTTGTAAACACATGGCAAAAGAAAATTATTGTGCACGCCAAAACAGTGTTTATTATGGGTGCTCAAAGCTGTGAGCAAATACGGTAATCAATTATGGCAGAAAAACGCATGGCATTTGATTTGACAAACAACAGTTTTAACTAGACTCGAGCAAATAATAAATTCCAAGTTTGAAGCAAACAGTGATACTGTTCAATTAATTTCAAATTGAATTCAAATTATATATGTCACATATGTGACCAAGAAAATGCATCGTCGAAAGCAGCATTGCCAACGCTTGGGAACTGGGTTCTTGGCTTTCTCGCTCGCCTCGTACTGATTGTCACCAGCATGTCCCTAAACGCTGCTCAGTTCCGATTGTGTTTTAATTGTAGAGCCACCGTCGCAACACACATCAATAAACCCCTTTACAATTGGTGAAGGTGCTGCCATTCCTTGTCGCCTGAACCTGGGTTCTGGCATTTGCCGTCGCCTGAACCTGGAGCTGCGCAACAAAACGCTACCTCCCATCATGGCAGACAACAACGCGCAATCTAGCTCTTCCACTCTGTCCTCCAGCACCCCCGGCATTCTTCGCTTGCGAGTCCACGGTCTTCAGCAGAGCTGATAAGACCGGCGTCGAAGACTGGTTCACCAACTACAAACTGGTGAGCGCTAACAACAAGTGGGATGACGCGGACAACGTCACCTTTTACCTCGCTGACATTGCCTAAATGTGGTATAACAACCACAAAAACGACATACCGACATGGTACGTTTTATAGACTTCGTTTGCTGATGTTTTCGGCCGACTCCCTATCCACAAGTCCATGGTCGAACAACGCTTGCGGACTCGCGCACAGAAGCAATCAAAATCATTCACCGGTTACATCGAAAGCATTGTTGATCTTTGCAACCATGTGTACCCCACCATGCCTGAGTCGTGCAAGATTCAGCACATCCTCAAAGGGATCAATGATGGCGCATTTCAGATGCTCCTGGCCCATAATCCTGCCACCGTTGTGGAACTTGTCCCTTCATGTCAAAGTTTTGATGAGTTGAAGAAGCAGCCCGCCCTGACTCGGCCATTTTCCTCACACGTCTATTCGCTCTCCAGTGTTGCTCCTGGTCCCAAGCACTGTGGGGTCTCGAAATGGTGAGAGAGCACCACGCCACGCTCTTGGAGTGAACGGACACAGCAGACACAGTCGGTACAAACCAAACAACATACATACATTTATTTAACTAATTTAGGTGACGATATCGTCCGCCGAATCGATAAAGAAAACATTATCAACACGGAAAGCCATCATTACACAAAATTACCATACACTTAAACAACATAACACAAGAGCACACAAAAGACGGCGTCGCCAACGCTTCACTCACCACGTGGGCCTACCTCAGGGGGCCCACGGTGCCATCCACGGCAGACCCACTGTGAGAGACACCCGTTCGCGCCAAACGCCACCAGCCGAAGAGGCTCGCTCAACTCTCGCCCACCACTAAGGCTTGCTTTCCACCAGAGGTCACTGCCGACGCTACACCATGATGGTGATGACGATAGTGGGGCTCAACGCGAATACAACGCTACCTGCCGCCCAATAGTTGTCACCCCGAAATGCGGCTTTGGGCGAGACACATGCGCCACACGGCGCAAACAACTTTACAGGGGTTGTCAGCACCCCCCTATTCTCCCAACCTTAAATCAAACCATATCTCGAAAACAACGAGATCAGCTACACAAGCTTTAACCAAAGAAATTACATCACATGTTTCTTCATAATCTCCTTGCACCACGACACCGCTGCCGGTCGACATTGCTGCATTGTCCGGCTCGACTTCACCTCAGTACCGGTCCGGTCCCACACCAGCAACATTAACGTCGGCGCGACGAACCGTCGCTAGCGCCGACACGTCTTCCAGTAGTGACCAACACTCATGAGGGCGCCGGACTGCAGGCAGTTGTGCAGGTCCCAGGCATCTCTATCACTTGACCTCACGACCACATTTTTGGCCAGCGACGGTGACGAAGTGCAGAAGACAGCCGGC